AGCAGCAGAAGTAAGAGCAGCAGCAGAAATACTAGTAGTAGTGGTAATAGTAATACTAAGAACAACGGTAGAATGGCTAGTAGGAGGAATAGTGGTCGTAGTAGTAGCAATTCTAGTAGCAGCAGTAGTAGTAGTGGTAGTAGTAGTAGTAGTAGTAATAATATCTATAAAATTAGTAGCATCATTATCAGCGAGAGTAGTCGTACTGGTAGTGGTAGTGGTAGGGGTAGTAATAGTAGTAGTAGTAGTAGTAGTAGTAGTAGTAGTAGTAGTAGTAGTAGTCGTAATAGTAATAGTAGTAGTAGTAGTAGTAGTAGTAGTACTAGTAGTAGTAGTAGTAGTAGTAGTAGTAGTAGTAGTAGTAGCAGTAGTAGTAGTAGTAGTGGTAGTGGTGGTAGTGGTCGTGGTAGTGGTAGTAGAAGTAGTAGTAGTAGCGACAGTAGTCGTACCAGTAGTAGTATTAGCATTAGTAGTAGTGGCGGAAGCCGTGGTAATAATAGCAACAGCAGTAATAGTAGCAGTTGTGTAGTGTGGTAGTAGTGGTAGTGGTAGTACTCACAATAAGTGTAAGACTAAGAGTAGGAGTAGTAGTAGGAGTAGTAGTAGGCGTAGTAGTAGTAGTAGTAGTAGTAGTAGTACTAGTTACAGTAGTAGTAGTAGTCGTCGCCGTAGTAGTAGTAGTAGTAGTAGTAGTAGTAGTAATAGTAATCGTAGTAGTAGTAGTAGTAGTAGTAGTAGTAGCAGTAGTATATTGAGTAGTTGCAGTAGTAGTAATGGTGGTGTTGGCAGTGGTACGAGTAGTGTTGTAGTAGTAGTCGTAGCAGGGAAGCAAGACCCGTAGTAGTCGTAGTGGTAGTAGTCGTGGTCACTCTCAGTAGTGGTAGTAGTAGTGGTAGTAGTAGTGACAGTAGTAGTACTGGCAATACTTATAGTAGTAGTAGTAATAGCAGTCGCAGTAGTAGTAGTAGTAGTAGTAGTAGTAGTACTAGTACTAGTACTATTACTAGTACTAGTACTAGTACTGGTACTAGTACGAGTCCTAGAAATGAGTATAGTAGTAGCCATGGTGCCAGAAGTGGTAGTGTGGGTAGCACGAATAGCAGTACTAGTCGTAGTAGTCGTTGTTGTTGTAGTTGTAGTAGTCGGCGTCGCTCCAGTAGAAGTAATATTATTAAAAGCAGTAGGCGTAGTAGTAGAAGCAGGAAAGAATAGTAGTGGTTGTAGTAGTAGGAGTAGAAGAAGAAGAAGTAGTAGTAGTAGTAGTAGTAGCTGTAGCAGTAGTAGTCGCAGCAGAAGTCGTAACAGTAGGTCGAAGTGGTAGTAAGTTTCGTAATATTGACCTCAAAAGTTGGCCCTCCTGCAGCCCTCGAGAGTTGGCCCTTCTAGGGCTTATTTTGGCGCCAAGTAAAATAAATAAGGGCCCCGGGAGGGCTCCAAGAAGGCCCCAAGCGGGCCTTTATAGTGGCCGAAAGCGAACTCAAGAAGGCCCCCAAAGCGCCCCCTTCCCCTAAGGATTTTTCAGGACTCCCGTGGATTCGCAAATATTCTTAAGGATCCCAAGAAATCCCAAGGACCCTAAGGAATCCTAAGAACCCTAAGGAATCCTAAGGAATCATAAGGAATCCCAAGGAATCGAAGTACTTCTGAAGAAGAAAGATGTACTTCTGAAGAAGAAAGAAATACTTCTGAAGAAGAAAGAAGTACTTCTGAAGATCCCATGGTTGTAATTGGTCCCATTTATGGTTGCAATTCGCTCCGAACGGTTGGAATTGGGACTAGTCGGTTGCAATTCGTCCCATTTCGGGAAGAGGGACGGGGGGAGGAGGAGGGAGGGGGGTTTAGGGAGAGAGGGAGGAGGGGGAGGGGAGAGAGGCAGGCCGGAGAAACGCGAGGAGCCACAACCACAGATGGCCCCTCCTCCTCCTCCTCCTCCTCCTCCTCCTCCTCCTCCTCCTCATCCGCCTCCTCGCGATCCGTCTGGCCCCTATGGGCCGCCAGGCATAGCAGAAAACCGAAACCCCGACACAAACTGAATCCATAGTTTCTCTGATCTAGATCTCAGGAGCGCGCGGAGGGACCGCAGACCCCGCAGCAGCGGGCGCCCACTCGCGGGCGGCGGGCGGCGGGCGTCGCTATAGACGGCGTAGTTGTCGCACGCGAAGATGCTGACGTCCTTCGCTTCGCGACGCCATGCTGCTCAACCGCTCCCTCTCCGCCGCTCCTCCTCGCTCCTCCGCGCTCCTCCTCGCTCCTCCTCCTCCTCTCTCCTCATCCCTCCTCCTCCTCCTCCTCCTCCTCCTCCTCCCCTCCTCCTACCCTCTCTCTCTCCTCCTCCTCCTCCTCCTCCCTCCTCATTCCCTCCTCCTCTCCTCTCCTCCTCCTCCTCACCTCCTCCTCCTCCTCCCTCCCTCCTACCCTCCTCCTCCTCATCCTCCTCCTCCTCCTCCTCCTCCTCCTTCTCCTCCATCCTACCTCCTCCTCCTCCTCCTCCTCTCCCCTCCTCCTCCTCTCCTCCTCCGCTCCTGCTCTCTCTGCTCCTCTCTGCTCCTGCTCCTGCTCCTGAGTCCTCCTCCTCCTCCTCCTCCTCCTCCTTCTCTCCTCCGTCTGTCTTTCATGCCTCTCTGCTTCTGCCCTCTTATTTCCCATATCTCTCCTCCTATGTTCCTCTGCTCTCCTCCTCCTCCTCCTCCTCCTCCTCCTCCTCCATTCCTATTCCATATCAATAACTTGTCCCTGTCGCACCCCGAACCCCTTTTTTTAGGGCGGGCCGGGCGTTTCGCCTGAGATTTCATAACTTATGACCCTGAAGCTCAAAAAGTGGCAGCAGCTTCACAGATGGAGGGCGGGTGGTTTTCAAAATGTAGCTCTCGCTTTAGCGCCGCGCAATTTCGTTTCCAAACTATACGAAAGTTTCACGGATTGAGAGCGTCTCGTTTTCGCAATGTGGCTCTCGTTAGCGCCGCGCACATTCGTTTAAAACTTGTAAGAGATTCACGGATTGAGGGTGGTGCCTTTTCAAAATGTGGCTCTCGCCTTGGCGCCGCGCACATTCGTCTTAACAAACATGCAAAGAGTTTCACGGATTCCCATGATCAACGTACCAGAAATTATGTGTCGGGTGCAACGGTTACGATAATTCGTGGTGTTGAAGTCCCCAGAATGGCGCTCTGGCACTATTCAGGATCTTCGAGACGCAACACTCAGCTTGATCCGTGGCGATGGAATCCCGAGAACAATGTGTTGGCATGCTTCAGGGTCTGAAAACGGTTGTCTTCCAGCGAGGCAGGTCCATCTGTGGAAATGGTCCGTTGTAGAGGCCAATGGAAATGGGGCTTGGGGGAAGGTTTGATTCCAACATCGTTGGTGACTCTTGGGTTTACACTGGTCCTCCTCCTCTTCCTCCTCATCTCCCTCCTCCTCTCCCTTTTCATTCTCTCCTCCTCCTCCTTTTCCTCCTCATCTTCCTCCTCCTGCTCCTCCTCCTCTTCCTCTTCCTCCTCATCTCCCACCTCCTCCTCCTCCTCCTCCTCTTTCTCCTCCTCCTCTTTCTCCTCCTCTTTCTCCTCCTCTCCCTCCTCCTCCTCTCCTCTCCTCCTCTTCCTCCTCATCTCCCTCCTCCTCCTGCTCCTCCTCCTCCTCCTCCTCCTCCTCCCCCTTCTCATTCTCTCCTCCCCCTTTTCCTCCTGCTCCTGCTCCTCCTGCTCCTGTTCCTGATGCTGCTGCACCAGACTGGATGCAGGCCTGCGCAGTTTTGAAGCTTGTTTCCTCCAGTGGAGGAATTGTTGTTGGGCCAACTGCTGTGGTAGACGCCATGTCCAAGAACGCAAGAGGTAACGCCTACAAGGAGCTGGTGCTGGTGCTCCAGCGCAACCCCCGCAAACGGCTGGCACGAAGAGGCCCAGTGCCTCCGCCGGGCTCTGACGCTGCTGCTCCCTGCCCAGACCCTGAGGAAGGTCCTCCCAGAGCTCGGGGATCTTCTGAACAGGGTCAACCCAGACCCGGGTCAGCAGGAAACCAAAAACTACAATGCAAGAACAAAAAACTGCAACGCAGGTCTTCGCAAACCCGGGTCAGCCAATAGGCTCGGCCGCCTCGCGGCCACGAGTGGCTCGCTAACCCGGGTCAGCCAGAGGGGGTCTTCGCAGGATCCTGCAGGCTCCGGCGCTCTGGCTGACCCCCGTTTGCACTGACCCCCCGTCTCCAGGCTCCCGAAGAGCGGCGGCGAGAAACGAACCGGCCCTCTCTCGCTCGCGGGCCCATTTCCCTCGCTGCCTCCGCGGGGTGGGCTCCCAAGTGGCCCCCTGGGCGCCCCGGCGCGCCACCTGGCTGGGCGCGCCGCCGCGCGGGCGGCCCGCCGCAGGAGGCCCGAGCACGCCAGCTCCAGCCCGCCGCCGGTGCAGCTGTCGTTGGAAGGTCTGCGGGGTGTCCAGCTGTCGTAGGAAGGCACCAACTATACACCAACACCGATCCTGGCCCAGGATCACCCTGGGCCCAGGATCGGTGTATACGCCCTCCTGCCTTGCGCAAGAAGGCATATACACCGATCCTGGGCCCAGGGTGATCCTGGGCCAGGATCGGTGTTGGTGTATAGTTGGTGCCCTCCGATGTCGGCTGTGGACAGACCTCCCTTCAGTGAACCTCCCCTTAGTGACAACGGCCTGGGACCGAAGCCGACGGGCCTGGACCCGCAAGAATATGACGGCCGCGACGCCCTCTCGCGAACCGAAAACCGGCCAATTCCTGAATCGACGTGTCAGGGTAGGAGGTCTGTCCACCTCCGAAACTGTTCGGCCTCATCGCCTCGCTTGCGGGTGGCTGGCGCTGTCGGCGTCCGAGGGGCACTTCCGCTTCGACCGCTGATCAGCTCCAGCTTCTCAGACCTGGTGGGGCCCTCCGCTTCGGCCTGGCGATCCCACAGCTCCCCCACCGCGCCCAATGATGCCTCGAGAACCTCCTCCGGGGCATCGTTGGGGCCCGCGCGGCTTGAGGCTCAACTCCACCGCGCGGCAGAATCGGAGCCAGGCTTGGCTGTAGACCTTCCCTTCCGCCTGGGCGGATCTGGCACACTTGGCCGTCGTGGTGCCGTTCCGGCTCAGGGCCCCCGCAGGGGCCTCTTCTCTCCTTCGCGCCCAGTTCTCCAGGGGTCTCCTCCGAGTGCGCGGGGGTGGCATCCAGAGGGGTTCAACTGCGGCCTCCTCCGCGTCTGGGGGGTCGAGTGCCTCGGGGGATTGGCGCGTGAGCTCGAGTCTTCATCAGGATGATTGTACGAATGTGTGTGAGAGATGAATGGTGACTGTGGGAATATGGCGACGATGATGATGATGATGATGATGATGATGATGATGATGATGATGATGATGATGATGATGATGATGATGATACTGATGATGATGATGCTGATGATGATGCTGATGATGATGATGATACTGATGATGATACTGATGATGATGATGGTGATGATGATGATGATGATGATGATACTGATACTGATGATGATGATGATAATGATGATGATACTGATGATGATGATGATGATGATGATGATGATGATGATGATCATCCACGCGGCTGAAGGGGACAGGAGCTCCCAACTCGCACTGCCCCTCGAATGATGATGATGGTCATAGTGATGGTGATGGTGGTGGTGGTGATGGTGATACTGAGGGTGAGTTTGGGAGCACGCTGTGGTGATGATGCGTGTGAGAACATGGTGTGTTCGATTATGATGTTGGTGGTGATGATGGTGACGACAGTGATGGTGATGGTGATGATGATGATGCTGCTGATGATGACGGTGATGATGCTAATTATGATGATGATGATGATGATGATGATGATGATGATGATGATGATGATGATGATGACTGTATACACTTCTCGATTTATGCGTGTCATCACTGCGCAGGGGCCGTGCTAGTCTTCTCTGTATATTTCCGAGTTTTACGGATGATCCCCGAAGGGATTACATGGTGATGATGATGCTGATGATGAATATGGTGAAGAGTCCGCGAGTGAATGTGGATGATGATGAACATGCTGAAACTGATGATGAAGACGATGATGGCTCTGATGATTCGCTTGCGTTTCGTGCCTCGACATGGGCCAAAACAGGGCCCCGCGAATAGGTAACAGAGCGGCTGGTGTCACCACGCAGGGGCCGCTGTGTAGCCGAATCAAAAGATCATAACAGCTCGCCCAGCGTAAACAAAACGTAAATACTTTGGGGTAAATTTGCGGGGCACCATGCACGGCAAAATGGGCAAACACGATCTTCTGCCCCGCGAAGAAAACACATGTTTGTTGGCGTAACCGCGCGGGCCCGCCACCAGTCCTGCGAGAAGAAACAAAAGGCATGCCCAAGTGACACATACACAAATACTCCGGGGCAGCCGCGGATGACAACCGCGCGAAAGAGACAAAAAACACAATGAAATGTACCACGCGACCCCACCGCGCGAGCCACTGCAAAAAAAACCTGGCCACAGCCGCGCAAGAAAACGTCGTCGGCGCAAGCCCGTTGGGAAGCCCACCTAGGCCAAACGAGAAAACAAAAGTGGATGAGAATGCAAAGGTGGTTGCAAGGCTTTGAAGGGCGCAAGGCTTTGAAGGGCGCGCGCGGGGCCCTGGAAATAAAACACAAGTGGATGGTTACTCAGAGGGGTTGCACTACCCTTTTTCAATTTCGGTGCTGCCCGACGACAGAAGACAGCAGGAAGTCCAGAACATGAACATGCAACACAACCAGGCCTGGCCTGCATATGTGTTGCCAGTCTCCTCGTGTCAACACCCGTCTCGTATTCCTCCTCATCATCCTTGTTCTCGTTATCGTCGTCGTGCTCATCATCGTCGTCGTCATCTTCCTCCTGATCCCGTCTGGACAACCCTCCCAGATCCCTCCATGGGCTATACGGGGGATTCAGTGGCGTCCCAAGCTTGCGAGCAGTTTCTGGCTCATCCTTCCAGCGACGGCGGCGAAGAGGACGAACCCCTGCTCGCAGCGCAGGACCCCCGCGGCCTGTCGCCACGGGAGCCCGTCCTCCCAGGGCGCCCCCCAGACGCTCGTGCCTCGCACGGCGGCTCCCAAACCCCACCGCGCCCGACTCCACCCCGCCCGAGATGAGAGCTGGGCCGGGGGGCCCGACCTGCTCGTGCAATCGACAGAGGGGGGCGGGGAAGGGAAACCTTTGGCCTCTGGCAGGCGCTGCCTCCCGGGGTGCACGGGGCCCGCTTCCGCCCGCCCCGAAAAGAGAGGCCGGCGAAGGCGGTCCGCGGCGCGCGGGCCCGCGACAGTGGCAGCTGCGCCGCCCCCTGGAGAAGCCGGGGCGAGGCCCCAGCCTCGATGCAGGCGACCGGCTCCGCCGGACCGCGGGGAGCACGAGAGCCCGGGGCCCGAGCGAGGCCCGCGAGAACTGAGCGACCTCGGTGCGCTCCACCCCCCAACAAAAAAGAAACCCGCCGACCTGGTCGGCGTGTGACAGGGGCTGTTCCGTCGCCATCGCCGTCGCTGCCGCCGTCGCGTCGCCGCCGCCATCACGGTCCCTCCTTCCCGAGTCCCCCCCTTTCTTTGGGCCCTCGCCCTCAAGCATGCCAGCCAAAGCGAAATACACCAGCCCGTCCACAGCGAAACGGAGCAACGTTGTCATTGAGTCGATGGGAAGCTCCTTCCCTGTGCTCACTTCCCCGCAGAGGGGGGGGGGGGCAGGGGCTCCCAGGGGGGGGGGATCCTGGGGGGGGGTCCTGTGGGGTGGTCCAGGGTCAGAGTGCCACCCTCCGGGCCCGCCCTCTCCCTCCCATTTCCGTCGAGGGCCGAGGCCTCCAGGGTCAGCGGCACGGGCCGTAAGTGAAGGGGCCGTGGGACACACAGACAAATACACACAAATAGCAGGATTCCCCATACTTCCCCATACTTTCTCGGTTCTGTCCTCCCCCCACTTCCCATATTTTCCCATATTTTCCTGGGAGTGGACCATCAATTGTGTCTGTGTGTTTTTTCCCTCCTGGGTAAGGCCTTCGTAATAAAACCCTCAGCGCGAGTGGTCCAAAGGAGGAGGGCGGGAGCGAGAGAGTGAGGAGGCGGAGGCGTGGCCCGAATAAAAACCCCACACGCAGCCATGCGCCAGCCTGGCTAAAGGCCTCGGCAAAACGAGTTGAGGAGAAAGAGGGGGAGGGAAAAAGAACGCCTGCGTGTGTAAGCATGCGCAGGGACGGAATGGAAAAGAAAACAGTGACCGTGACCAACACGGAACGCGGATACGTCGGTGCTGACCTTGGTCACCGTCCATCTTGGTCACCGTCCAGTTCGTGGATCGCCCTCGCGGATCGGCGAGGGCCGGCATGGACCACTACCGAGGTCGGCGCCGGAAAAGAAATCCCCTCCGTCTTGGATTTGCTCAATACGTTGGATCTCTGGGACTGCCACGGCGCCTCCAGCCCGGCGGAGGTCGAGCGAAGCTCCGGCCGGCGGGCCGGTGCACGGGGGCCGAGCGAGGGGGGCCAGGCCGCGGCAGCGCGGCGGGGGGCGCGGCGCGCCTTGGCCGCCAGGGCCTCCATGAGGCCGCGCTCGTAGCCAGACCTGTGGCGGGAGGAAGGTGAAGAGGAGGAGGAGGAGGAGGAGAAGCAGTGACGACGCGCCATGGATGCGCACTGTGTGCTCCGAGTGCGATGCGTGCGCAAGACGATGGGCCGAGGCCCTGCGTGAAGCTAAAACGTGGGACACTGAAACGTGCAAACGATGTGAAGCGCAGCCTGCCAGCGTTCTTACGATGTAACACTCCTGCCAGCCGAAGCCGGATCAAGATCCAGGGCGGGGAGGGGGGGGGGGAGGAGAGGGATGAGGAGGACGAAGAGGACGACCAGAGAGAAAACCCAAGATGCATCAGCGAAGCTGCAATATACCATCCCCTCCCAGACTCCCCCACCCCGCCCTTACGCGTCCCTACGAGCTTTCCTTACCGCCACGAGAGGCGGCGCCCCGTTTGAAAGACCAGCGCCGTGTGGGCCCACCATTATGGCGAGGGCCCCGTCTTGAGAAGGAACGGCCTCCCGTGTATCCTTCTGGCGCGCAGTCGGGAGTGCGAAAACTGTGATCGGACAGTTGAGCGAGATGTCTGGCGAGATCTGGACCAGAAAACAAGCGACACCACCCCACCTAAGGCCCCAATGGCCTTAGCGTATACCCGGGGATCTTGCGTGGGTTTCTGCGTGGTATACGCCACGGCCCCCAATGGGACGGAACGCAAGATGGAGGGCCGCAGGTGGGTTGGTGTCTCTTTTACCAAACCATCCTGTGGTGTGGGGACCTCGTTTTGAAGAGACGTCGCCCCGCGTTCCTCTCCTCCTCTCCTCCTCCTCCTCCTCCTCCTCCTCCTCCTCTTCCCCTTTTTCTCTTTCCTCCCGTCATCATCATCATCGTCATAATCATCATCGTGATCACCATCATCATCATCATCATCATCATCATCATCATCATCATCATCATCATCATCATCGTCATCATCATCATCATCATCATCATCATCATCATAATCAGCAGCCGCATCATCATCATCACCACCACCATCATCATCATCATCATCATCATCATCATCATCATCGTCATCATCATCATCATCACGACCGTCTTCATCACCCATGTCGGCACACCCATCACACGCTTCGTGGCCCCAAAAGGAGCTCCACCGAAAGGCCCCAGTGCCACCGCCCGCATGCGTCCCCCACACCCATTTCGGCACATCCCTCACACGCTTCGTGGCCCCATAGGGAGCTCCACCGACAGCCCCAGTGCCACCGACCGCATGCGTCTCCCACGCACAATTCGGCACACCCCTCACACGCTTCGTGGCCCCATAAGGGTCCCCCACACTAATTTCGGCACACCCCTCACACGTTTCGTGGCCTCACTGGGAGCTCCGCCGAAGGCCCCAGTGCCACCGCCCGCATGCCCCCCACACACAATTCGGCACACCCCTCACACGTTTCGTGGCCCCATATGGAGTTCCACCGAAGGCCCCAGTGCCACCGCCCGCATGCGTCCCACACGCCCATTGCGGCACACCCCTCACACGTTTCGTGGCCACAAACAACTTCCACCGAAGGCCCCAGTGCCACCGCCCGCATGCGTCCCCCACATTAATCTCGGCACACCCCTCACACTGTTCGTGGCTCCATAGGGAGCTCCACCGAAGGCCCCAGTGACACCGCCCGCATGCGTCCCCCACGCACATTTCGGCACACCCCTCACACGCTTCGTGGCCCCATAGGGAGCTCACCGACGGCCCCAGCGCCACCGCCCGCATGCGTCCCCACCCATTTCGGCACACCCCTAACACGTTTCGGTACACCCTACAGCCGAACCAACTGGGCGCGAGCGGTCTGCAGCCAGGCCATCTCTCGGTCCTGTGGACTCTCGCCCTGGGCCGTCGGCTGTCCGGCGCGCTGCTCCCTCGGCCGACGTCGCCCAGGCGTGATCTTGGACTGCGGCCGCCACGAGGTCGGGAACGGCAAGAGGGAGGACGACGACTGGTGGCTGGAGCTCTATGTGCTGCTCTCGCGCGCCACGCGCCACGAGGACCTCCTGCTCATGCGGGCGCCGCGCATGGAGTTCTTCCTGACAGGGCCGCCGGAGGGCTTGCGGAAGCAGCTGGAGCAGTTTGCGGCGCGCACGAAGCGGCGCAGAAGGGAAGCGACGGCCCTCGCCAGGGAGCTCGGTTTCACCGAGTTGACCCGCGAGGCCTGACCTGAGGAGCGCCCACCCCGGAGCCGCGCCTTCTCTGGACTGCCCAACTAATTGTTTGGCCTCGCGCCGCGGACGACCCGCGCGCGTCGCTGGGACCCTCCCGGGGCGACCAGCGCGCGTCGCGGGAACTCCGCACTGCGTTCTTCTGTGTGCCTCGCTCGCCCGTCGTCGCTCTGCCCAGCGGTCAGCGCCTGCCCGCTATCAACCAGCCAACTAGCTAGCTAGCTAGCTCTCTTTGCTCCACGCAGCGGACGACCAGCGCGCGTCGCTGGGACCCTTCCGGGGCGACCGGCGCGCGTCGCGGGGACTCCGCGCCGCGCTGCGCCCGCAGCTTTGGACTTTGGAATGCGCGGGCAAAGAGGGAGGAAAAGAAGGGAAGGAAGCGGGTGCGATCCTCGCGATGGGCTTGCCGACATGGGCGTCGCGGCGTGCGGGCGCTGCCGCCGGGGTTCCCGCGGAAGCTTCCTGCGGCGGCCACGCTCTGTGCCACAAGTGCACAGACAGGCATACCCGAACCATTCACATCCATATACATTTACACCAGGCGTAGTCATGATCGCATTCGTGCAAATATATTCGCTCGCACGCAGACTCATTCACACTTAGACTCACTCGCGCTCATATTCACCCGCGCGCAGTCTTTCGTAATTAGACCAATCGTTTTCTTTAGTGTTGTGTACCCCGCCACATTTCGGCACGCTCCTCATACGGTTCGTGGGCACCACCGAAGAAGATACTCACAATTGCGGTGCTTACAACTGCATATGGTTGGGTCCTTCGCATGGATAATTTTCGTGGTCGGAGATCGTCCTTCCGAAAAAAATCCCGCCCCCCGCCCGCGCAGCTGCACCCCCGCGGCCATGAACTCCGAGGAGACCTCAGGCGGGAGCTCCACCCCGGAAAAAAAAATCCGCACTCGAGCCGTGCAGCGCTGCACATGCTGAGATTCGGGTCTACCACGTCGGGGAGGTCCCCAGGCGAGAGCACCACTGTCAAAAACGCCCGTCGTCCATGGACTCCACCCTCGTAGCTGCTGCAAGCTTTTGAGACGAGCGTGCGCGGCTCTGAGGCTGGAGCCCCATTCTGGAGACGGCCCCCCTTCCATCCTTAAATCTGCTGCATCTAAACCGAAAAAGAGAGGCGCTTGGGCGACAGCCACATTTTGAAAACGACATCTCACATCCATGAAGCTGCTGCGAATTTGAAAGGTGAATGTGCGCGGCGCCAAGGAGAGCCCCATTTAGAAAAAAAAGCTCCTCCATCCCTGCACCTGTTGCAAGCTGAAAAAAACAACCGTGTGCGGAGCTGAGGCGAGAGCCACAGTTTGAAAGCACACACCCGCCATCCTTGGAAGTACCGCAGCAGTATAAAGCGAATGCACGCGAGGCTAAGGCGAGAGCCACACTTTGAAAAGGAACCGCCCTTCCTCCTTGTACCTGTTGCTAAGTTTAGGTCGGGTGTGCCCTCCTACATGGGGATTTGGGATGGAAAAAAATAGCCAATTATCCTGGCGAAGGACCCAACCATACGCAAATGAGAGAACCGCAGGGCAGGTGGGCCGAAACAAAAGATATTCCCAATGGGGCCACGAACCGTGTGAGGGGTGCGCCAGAATGGCGCGGGGCCGCCATGCGAACCCTGCCACTGGGGCCTTCTGTGGAGCCCTCATATGGGGCCACGAATCATGTGAGGGGTGCGCCAGAATGGCGCGGGGCCGCCATGCAAACCCTGCCACTGGGGCCTTCGGTGGAGCTCCCTATGGGGCCACGGACCGTGTGAGGGGTGCGCCAAAATGGCGCGGGGCCGCCGTGCGAACCCTGCCACTGGGGCCTTCGGTGGAGCTCCCCATGGGGAGTGTACCAAACTGGCGCGGGGCCGCCATGCGAACCCTGCCACTGGGGCCTTCGGTGGAGCTCCCTATGGGGCCACGAAATGTGTGTGGGGTGCGCCAAAATGCGGCAGGGTCGCCATGCGAACCCTGCCACTGGGGCCTTCAGTGGAGCTCCCTGTGGTCACACGGGTTGCGCCAAAATAGCGCGGGGCCGCCATGCGAACCCTGCCGCTGGGGCCTTCGGTGGAGCTCCCTATTGGGCCACGAATCATGTGAGGGGTGCGCCAGAATGGCGCGGGGCCGCCATGCGAACCCTGCCACTGGGGCCTTCGGTGGAACTCCCTATGGGGCCACGAACCGTGTGAGGGGTGCGCCAAAACGCGGGGCCGCCATGCGAACCCTGCCACTGGGGCCTTCGGTGGAGCTGCCTATGGGGTCACGAAACGCTGTGCTGGGTGGGCGAAACGCAGGGAGGAAGGAGGAGGGGGAGGAGGGGGGAGGAGGAGAGGAGAGGAGAGGAGGAACGCGGGGACCGTCTCTTCAAAACGAGGACCCAACACCACACGATGGTTGGGAAATAGTCCAGAAATGGTCCCCTGAATATTCCCCCTGTAGGGGGACAGGCCCGATGTAAGGCTAAGGCGAGAGCCACGCGGTGAACAGGGACTGCACGCCAGAGTGACCCATGGGTCAGGGTGACCTTTGGTGCGCGGCTTTTTCGGCGCCGCGGGGAGACCAGACGCAGGCGCGCAGGACGCTGCTATCGCGTCGAGCTCGGCGATCGGGGGAGCCCAATGCCCCAATGGGCCCGCACCAAAAAAGGGCACTCCGGCGAAAGGCCGCTCCTACGTGTGGTCGACCCGCTGTGAGCACGAGCGCACGCGGCGCCGAAGCCAGAGCGCCACCTCTTTGGGCACGGGCCGCCCCCCTCGAGCCCGCGGGGCTGCCGCACACCCGTGGCCCAAACCTGCGCGGCGCCTGGGGCGAGAGCCCCACTCTCTCGCAGCGCCCGCCCCCCCTCCCCCCAGGTGCTCCCAGGGCTCCCCGGGTCCCCGGGTCCCCTCCTCTCCTCCTCCTCCTCCTCCTTCTCCTCCTCCCTCCTCCTCCTCCTCCTCCTCCTCCTCCTCCTCCTCCTCCTCCTCCCTCCTCCTCCTCCTCCTCCTCCTCCTCCTCCTCCTCCTTCCTCCTCCTCCTCCTCCTCCGCGACGGACTCCTCCAGGCTTCGTGCCACCTCCTTCTCCCCCTCCTCCCCCCCTGCCCCTCCGTCGATGCAGCTGCTGTGAGCCCCGAGCCTCAGGACCACGAGTGCTGAGGAAGCCTCACGCGAGACGCACGGCCCGCCCCGCGCTGGTGGCTCCGCAGACATGCCCGGCGCAGGCGCGGCCCCTCGCGAGCGGGAGCGGGGCCTCGCCGCGCGCAGAGGGCAGAGGGCCCGCGCGACCCGCCCCTCTGGCCAGGGCGCCTTGGCCAGGGGGGAGCTCCCTTCGACGAGCGCCCTGCAGTGCAGGGCTGAGCCCGAACGGTGTTTTGCGTCTTCGTTTTGTTCTCGTATCTCTCAATCCGCCTTTGCCGCAAAACGAAATCGACCCGAAAACGGCCCACGAAATCGCCAAAACACCGTTTAGGTCCAGACCTGCCCCGCATCCGGGCGTCCTGGGCTGAGAGGAGAGGAGGGAGCAGGTCTACCGAGGACGACGACGAACGGCGACGACCAGGGACGACGACGGAGGACTACGACGACGAAGGACGCCGACGAGGACGTCGACGACGACGAAGGACGACGACGAGGGACAGGTCGACCGACGACGACGACGACGAAGGACACGACGACGACGAAGGACGACCACGAGGACGACCTAGTCCCTGCCCTCTTCCTTGGTCTTCCTTCGTCGACCGATGCAGGCTAGTCCGATTTGCCTTGAGAAGAGCTCACCTGGGCGCCGCTTCGGCCTGCAGTCTGAAGGCGGGCTGGACCCGAGCGAGCTGCTCCGCGGGCTCCGCCTGCTCGCCTTCGTCCTCCGAATGCAGGTGCTGCAGCCGACATTGAAGGGGCCCAGGGACACACAAGTACACACACAAATCCCCGGATCCCCCATATTTGTTCATATATGCTTGACTTTCGTCTGCCCCCCCACAGTTCCCGTGTTTTCCCATATTTTCTGGGGAATCGACGATGCTTTGTGTCTGTGTTCTCCCCCCCCCCCCTGAGGACATAACAGGCAGCGCGGAGGGCGGGAGGGAGAGAGGGGGCGCGCGCGCGGTGGTTGTTCCGACGGGCGGAGGGGCGGCAGCATGAGCGCCCAGCAAAACAGCGTCCCCTGCTCCCGCGTCGAGACGGAGGTGCTGGTGCTGGTGCTGGTGCTCGTAGTGAGGGCGGTGGAGGTCGTCGACGGCGCGAGGTGCACGGCGGCGGAGGTCGTCGACTGCGCGGGGTGTGGCTGGGCAGGGCCAGGATCCAGGCTCGAAGGTCGAAGACCGAGATCTTTCAGCGCCCGCTGCCCTCGCAAAAACCTCCAAACGGCTCGGGGGGGGCCTCCCGAGAGAAACCAGAGGCCTCCGGGGACGTCCGGGACCTTCAAAAGAAATGCGAGACGGGAAGGGGGGAGGGAAGAGTGCGAGGAGGGAGGCCGGGGGGCGGAAAGGAGGAGGGGGAGGGAGAGAGAGGGAGAGGAGAAATGGGGGGAGAGAGAGAGAGAGGGAGGGGGACGAGGGTCTCCTCCTCCCAGCCTGCCCTCTTCTCGGCGGGAAGGAGTTCGGAGGGGATCGATGGGGAAGGGGCGCGGGGAAGATGGGGGGAAGGAGGAGAAGGGGGACCGTCCAGCTCGAATGCCAGCTCCCTCCTCTTCCTCCTCCACCTTGCCCTGCATCAGCCATCTCCACCTCCGCTTCTTCCTGCTCATCCAGCCCTTCCCTCGTTACCCGCACGCTCTCCGGATCATCCTTTTAAGCTCACGCCAAGTGACTATGAAAGCGATCCAACCTGGTGGGGGCAAGGGAGACTCAGCGAAGACACTGGCGTTCATCCTCTTCTCCTCCTCGCGCTATCTCCCCTCAAGATCCCTCGCTTCCCCATCGTTCCCTCCCCATCCCCCATCCCTCCCTTGATCCAGTCCTGGCTCGAGAGCCCCTGTGCTCAGGGCGAGCAATCACACGACCCCCCCCCCGCGCATCCGCTTCCGCCTGGGAAGACCAGAGCCGCGCCACACGGCGCCATTCAAATACATGCCCAACGTCGTCCCCCTCCTCCTCCTCCTCCTCCTCCTCCTCCTCCTCCTCCTCCTCCTCCTCCTCCTCCTCCTCCTCCTCCTCCTCCTCCTCCTCCTCCTCCTCCTCCTCCTCCTCCTCCTCCTCCTCCTCCTCCTCCTCCTCCTCCTCCTCCTCCTCCTCCTCCTCCTCCCCTCCTCCTCCTCCTCCTCCTCCTCCTCCTCCTCCTCCTCCTTCCTCCTCCTCCTCCTCCTCCTCCTCCTCCTCCTCCTCCTCCTCCTCCTCCTCCTCCTCCTCCTCCTCCTTCCGTGTTCGCGCACGCGCCGTGGTTCCGAAAGGCCCTCGCCGCGCGCCTCCTGTACACCGAGGCAGGCCAAGCCACCAGGCAAGGGCCGCCCAAAAAGACTCCCCCTCACACGAGAGTACTCCAGATTTCGGAATAAAAGGGACACAGACAGGCCCGCACTCCAGCCCCTTGGGGGCGGTCCTCTAAGAGGGCAGGCGCATGGGACACGCGGTCCCCCGCACTGGGAGAGACTACTGGGTTGTCGCTGCATTAACAGATTTGGGAAAACGTAAGAAAAATACACCAGGCTCAGAAACTACCTCGTCGCAAACCCATCCTCTAACTCATTCCACGCCTCGTGTGATAATGCATAGATTTGCCACGAAGTTTAAACACCTTGCGTGTAGATGTACTCGCGGACGTCGTCATCCCAGCGTCTCTTCGGTCTGCCGGTCGCACGACGCGCTGATATAGAAGTCAACGCCGGGTCCCAGCACATCGCTTGCGAAGCCCAGCGGTCCGTATCCATGTTTGCCACTCGAAAAGCCCATCGCCATTTGCGTCGTCTCTGCTGGTGTGCCCATGGCTCCATACGTGCTGTCTGCAGGTGTTCCTCTGTAGCCCTCGTCGCTCTTCGAATGAAATCGGCCCAAGGCTCCAGACGCGTACTTTCCGAAGCGCCCGATGATGTATAGTCCTGCTCCAGCTCTGGGTTGCTGTCCACGTCGGCACAATCAACATCAGCGTTCTCCACGCATTCCGTTTGAATTGTTTTTCGCTTTGCTCCCAACATATGCCTGAGCATCCTCCGTTGTACACATATGATTTGGTGTTCCACGTCGCGGGTCATAGGCCACACTTCGCTTCCATACAGTAGCGTTGGTGCCACCGTGCTGTCAAGCAGCCGGATACGATCCTTGAGAGGATATGATCGGCTGGTCAGTTCTTGCTTATGTAAACCATATGCGGCCCATGCTTTGCGGATTCTGTTGTTGAGCTCACATTCAAAAGGCAGACGCCCTAAATATTTGGTAGTTGATGTCTTTGGAATAATCTCGATTTCCAAACCATTTACGTGTACCGAGCCCGCCGCTTGTCTCCCAGACTTCCTGCTCGCATTTGTGAATATCTTTGTCTTGCCAGGGTGTAAAGATAAGCCCACGTCGGCGGTATATCTCTGGATGTCGGACAGCATCTGCTTGATTTGGTGCAATGTGGGTGCCACGGCGAGCACGTCATCTGCGAAACGCAAATTTGTGAGCATTTTGCTGTTCAGCGGGTCCGATCGTAAGCCGTAGCGTTTTCTATACCACTCTTTTTGCATGGCCGGAGACAGTGTTCAAATAAAGCGTTGAAAAACAAAGAAGATAAGGGATCGCCCTGCTTTGCCCCACGTTGTATATTGAACTCGTCGCTGAGCACGTCTGTCCGCACACGCCCACGTTGATCCGCATACAGAGAGCGAAGCAGCTGAATATACGGTTCCGGAACACCCTGGCCACGGAGCGCTTCCCACAGAGAACCGTGTTCAACCGTATCGAACGCCTTCTTGAAGTCCAGTGCGCAATACCATACTGTTTGTTGAAATTCGTCGGCCTTCTCCTGAATACATGACATAGTGAATATATGATCGATTGTTGAAAACCCTTTTCTGAATCCAGCTTGGTCGCACGATTGCTCAGGCCCCAGGTACATGTCCAACCTTTGGTATGGAAGACGAGCAAATAGTTTGTATAGAGCCGGTAGTGTACAAATCGGTCTATAATTGGATGGCCGCGTGGGGTCCCCGTCTTTGAACAATACTTTCATGACTGCGTGTTTCCACTGCGTTGGAGTCGGAGTCCCGGGCTTGATGATAGCATTGTACATGTCCAGCACAGCATGTCGTACTGCTTCGCCTCCAAATTTCAGCATTTCTGCAACAATCCCCATAGTATCTGGCGCCTTGCCTGTTTTAAGGTGCGCCAGAGCCTCTTCAAGTTCATCGTAGGTGAACGGCGGTATAGATCCAGCTGTGAATGTAGTATGTTCAGATTGTTCTGACTGTCCGTGTGCTGTTGCATAGAGATCCGCGTAAAAATCCGAAAATGCATTAGCTATGTCTTTGCGGCCTGTGTGTTCCATCCCCTTTGAATCGACCATCTTGACAATCATAATTCGCCTCCTCGTCTTTGTCGTCTTGATATCTTTCAGCCCCGTAAACGTGCTCAAGATGTGTTTGATGTGTTGATTGCGGGTCTTATCTTTGATAACCTTCATTTCAAGGGAGGGGGTCACAATCCTCCCAGACCACAAGTTTTAGACCCCCCAGACCATCCATGATATGAAAGAGCGGCACTTTGCCCAGACCCCACCTAACCCTTCAAGACAGCTCAAATCAGACCCCCCCCCGCCAAATGTAACCCCCCCTACTTTATTATGGAATCCGGAGTAACCAGGCTCAAAAGGAAATCTGCGCCGCTGAAGTCCAAGGCGGGGGCGGCGGCGACCGAGCAGCCGCTGCACACAAGGATCTCGCTCAGAAGCGCCAAACTGATCTCGATACCATGTACTAAGCACGCCACTCCGACAAGCGGAAGCTCAAGGGCGAGCTAACGAGATCGTGCGGGAAGAATAGAACCAGCTGCACCATGCTGCATCGCTCCCGCACACACAACTAAGGGTACAGCTTGTGACACCTGACAAGCAGGCACCACGGTCGAAGCCGAAGCCCACCAGGGCAACAGCACGACCCCTCTCGTCAGCCCTGGCGCGCACAACTGGAACGCCCCCGTTACCACAGCGCCCGAAAGGGGCGGTGAGGAAATGTCATGCACCAGCAGCATCTCCCTTTACACGCTAAGTGAAGGCGGCCGCGTGCTCCGACATATCCGCACTCAGGACAAACTTCTAACTCTCGCAGCTCTGGGGGGCCATCAACACGGACTGCCCCAGCAGGTACTGCAACCGCGGCAAAGGCTACCAAGCCCACACCAGGTCACATCCAAAGCACCATCTACCCATCTACCAACTCGGACGGGAATAGGCCAAAGGCCTCCAGAACGTCGTGCAAAATGAACTCGACCCAGCTGGTAACGTCGTCTGGCTCCGCGCGACCATTAGTGAAGCGGATACCATCGCTGCCGCACCTTCGCTCGAAGCGGCATCCACAACTCGATCCCCAAATGCCACCCCAACCAGCGGCAACCGCTGTCCAAACGGACCAGGTACGGAACAGCAGACGGAAAAAGGGCGCCACAAACCTGCCAAGAAGTATGTCGCACGCATCCAGGCGAACGAACACCGCATCGACGCCTCCACGGCCGCGTTCGCGACCCACTTCCGTATCGCACAAGTCCAGGAAGACATGGAACTCCTAGGGCGCCGCGGCATAGCTGTCGGGACACGCAAACTGACGGCGACCGTCGGCATCAAGCCGGTCGACGTCCCGTGAGTCCTCTGCCCCAAACCGAGAAGAATCCACTTCAAAGTCAGTTATCCGTTACAGTCAGGGTCTTGACCTAAGGAACCATAAATAAGGAACGAAGCCCCTTTTTTCCAAGTAAGCCCATGAAGCCAGAAGGAACGGCCGAGCCCCTTTCTAGCGGCGTTCCGCTACGATTTGCCAAAGTGTCCAAAGGCTCCAAAGGGTCCAAAGGCTCCAAAGGGTCCAAGCCCAGTGATTACACCATCGCGCGGTACACTCCCAGCCCAGTGATTACACCATCGCGCGGTACACCGACGCTCGCCAGACCATGCGCCAAGACAGCCGCCAGACCTCCGCCGAGCACGACGCCTTTGGAGCGGTAGGGGCGAACAAGAGAGTTGGCATCAGGGTTAAGTCGGACACCAGGCGAAACAAAAGGCCCTCGAACTACGTGGCACCGACGCAGCACTGGCCAACACCAAAAACCGAATCACTCGAGTTGAACCGCAGAGTGCTACTACCAAGACACAAATCACGAAAGTGCTCACATCCATCAAGTGGAGCTGTGAGGTACAGCTCACAGGCTGGGGCAAAGCCACCAGGGGTGACTTCGCCGTTGTCTAAGCGGCCAGTCCTCCTGCGAAATCGACGATCCACCTTCATGGGTCTACCATCCCATGGACCATCGCCAGGTTGGAGACAACAAAGGCGGCCCAACCGAAAGGACCCGTTGCCACGATCGTCCCACCAGATAGCATCGTGAGATCACCCTCGCCCATGGGAGGGACAGGGACAAACCCCTCCCAGTCTCTACAGGACAGGGCTGTCACCAGACCTTACCTACAAGCGCTGCTCAAACCGCAAGCAAGCCCAAAAGCGTCGCCGCAACCGAGCACCCTGCCACAAGGGAAGAAGCAGCGCAGCACCAACGCGTTGTATTCTTGCAAAGGAGCCAGCAGCATCAATAAGGAAACCACTACATATATCGACGACAGCCACCTTGCCATAAAAAAACGCAGCCAGCTGCGACATGGAGGGTGGAGCCGACGGAATCGCAGGCACCGACACCCCACCCCTGTCCGCCAACGAACGGCACGCGGCAACGGGCGACGATGAAATCTCAGACGACGAATGGCTCTCTCAACCAGGCGGGCAAGGCATCTCCGATCAAGCTGACGAGAGGATCCGGGGGCTCGAAGCTGATCAACAGCAGCTCGCCGAGACGGTTAAGCGTCTCGAAACTACTGTCATCAGTGTGGTCACCAGCCAAGTCACACTGGCGCAGAAGTGCTACCACATGGAGCAAAAGATCCACACGGCTCAACCAGATCAGACCAGCCAGGACACGGACCTGAGGGCTTTCACGGGCCACATGGCGCCCTTCGCCATGATGACCCAAGCCCATGCGGCGCAAACCACGAGGACCATCTTGAAGGGGCCACGATGGGATCCCTTCATCCCACCGGATAAAAACGCACATGTTAATTTCCAATATGTAAAGGCTGCTGCAAGGGAAGGAGCACAGGGATTGCTGTAGCTTGTGCTTTGCTATACGCATCTGGTTTCTAGTTGCAATCGCCGTCCAGGGGTTGACTGCGAGTGTTGCTTGCGTTGGCTCGTGCATGTCTGACGGCCTGCGTCCGCAGCATTTGGCTGAATGACGTTTGATTAGGCCGCCACGCACCAGCGCCCGCGAGCTCCGGTTCGGCCTTCTCATGTGCTTCGCGCCCATGGGGGCTTTCGCGCACGTCCAAACGCTGCTCGTCGGCGTCCACATAGGCGACTCAGTGATAAGGGCACCAGACCCGACGCACCATAACATGTTTCACAACGACCGCGAACACAAAAGTGTTTCTGCACTCGCTTTCGCCAGCGACGGCGACAAGCAACACTGGGCTGCCCCTGCGGCTCCGTCCGAGCCTTTGCACCACTGACCGAAGCACCGCCAAGAAACACCGCTCAGATGAGCAACGATTCGAACCCCGTGGTCTCAAGAACAACAGGACTTGCTGTCAACCGCGGGACATACACCAGCTAAAAGCCAAACCTATACAACTGCACAAAAAAACAGGAGCGCACCTTCTATTGTGGGGTACGGCTTCCCACGTTCGCGAATGCATCGCAGCATTGGAACCCTAGCCAACAACATCTGGGCGAAGATGACGCCACATATGGTTGTATCGGATCACGTTCCAACCTGGTCGGGAATCCTCGCATGGGTCTCTTGAAGGGGCCCCAGGACACACAAATAAATACACACAAATAAAAATATTCCCCAGATTTTCCCATATTTTCTGGGTTTTGTTCTTCCCCCCCGCTTCCCATATTTTCCCATATGTTCTCGGGAATCGACGATTAATTGTGCCTGTGTGTTTCTAAAGCCCAGGAGACCTTTCCCGAGGCCTGACTGGCTTGCCTGGAGACCCGCGAGGCCCCTCAGAGGAGGCCCCGGAGCGCCCCGTCGGCAGGCCCAGGGCCCCTCCCTCCCGAGGACGCCCAAGAGGAAGGGGCCCACAGACACACAAATAGATACACGCAGATATCGGGTCGGGCGAAAGGGGGGGATAGCAAAGGGGGGGGTTGAGAATTAGCTCACGTAGCTGATTTTCCCGGCGCCTCCCGGCGCCGGGAGCGGCCATGTATCGAGGAATTGGCCCCTCGGTTAGGCCGAAACCAGCTGCATGCAGCAAATTTCGTAACCCCCCCTTTCCCAATCCCCCCCTTTTGCCCGACCCGAAGATAACAGGACTCCCCATATTTTTCCATATCTTCTGGGCTTCTGTCTTCCCCCCCACTTCCCACATGTTCCCACACGTTCCTGGGAGTCGACGATGAATTGTGTCTGTGTGTTCCTTTCCCTCCCGACAGGATGCACTCTCGGAGAGCTCAGTGAGCTCATCAGTGGGGAGACACCTCCCAGGAGGCCCTGGCGCCCCACTGAGCCTGTGAGGAAGCCGAAGAAACCTGTGAGGAGGCCCAAAACACCTGTGGGGCTGCCGTGAGCCCTTTCGGAGAACCAAAAAAACTCTCGGGAAGCCAGACAGCCCTTGCCAGAAGTCGAAGAAGCCTCTCAACAAGTCCGAGAAATCTCTCCAGGGGGCCAAGGGGGGGGGCCAAGGAATCGCGAGAAAAACAAAACGGTGGACAAGAGAGAAGGATAAAGGAGCGTAGGGGCCCGTTCCCTCCCGCGCCCCCCCTTCGCCCCTTCTGCGTCCCCCCCTCTTCACCTACCCTTGAATTTGTCTTGCGCCCCCGCCCCCCCTTCTCCGCTCTTCGATTCGCGCGATGAGGAGCTCGACCACGAAGCCAAGGCGACAACAACAACGACGAGGGTCATCCCCCTGGCTGCCGCCGGTCAGCCTCCGCCGCCGTCGCCGCTGCCGCTGCCGTTGCCGCCGACCTCGCCGCCGCCGCCGCACCCCGGATACGCCCCCTGAGATCCTTCAGCTCAGCGATCTGGCCCTTGAGCGTCGACTGGGGAGGCGAGGATTACTGAGCTGATGGATTTCGGTATGCCAGGACACCAAACTCCGCCGACCCTGTCGGCGTGTGCGAGGGGCTTGTCCGTTCAAGTCGTCATCTCCGTCATTCGCTGGTCGTCGTCTCTGTCGCCCCCTAGCCCTGCCTCCCCCTTTCCCTGGGCTCGTCGAAGCTCCCCCCTTTTCCAGGGACCTCCTCAGCGCGCCAACCAAAGCGAAGTTGAGCAACGTCGTAATGGAGTCGGAGGGAAGCCCCTCCCCTTCGATCCCTTCCCCGCCGGGGGGGGTGGGAGGGGGGGCTCCGGGAGGGGGGGGGGGGTCAGACGCCCCCCCCGGGAGGGGGGGGTCCCGCCGGGGAGGGGGGGGTCCCCGGGGGGATGTACGGCGCCCCCCCGGGGAGTCCCCGAGCCCAAAAAAGCCTCAAGACGGACCAAGAGTGCCCCACGAGGCCCCAAAGACAGTCCAAGAGAACCCCGAATCGCCAAACGATCTGTCCAAGACGTCTTGACGGCCTCCAGACGGCCCAAGAGGCCTGCAAAGCGCCCCAAGAGGCCTCCAGGAGCTTTCCCACGAGAGCCCCAAGAGGCAAAAATCATGGATTTCCCATACGTTTTTACAACATTTGGCGTTCTTGCCTCTTCCGCTTCCCGACGCGCCAAGATGGCCCAAGAGGCCCCCAAGATCGCCCCGAGACGGCCCAAGAGGCCCCCAAGAGGGTCCCCTAACGGCCGAAGAGGGCCCCAAGACGGCCCAAGACGCCTCCAAGACGGCCCACGAGGCCCCCAAGATTGCCCCAAGACAACCCAGGAGAGCTCCAAATTGCCCAGGAGGCGAGACGGCGCACGGCCCAAGACGGCCTCAAGAGAGCCCCAGGCTGTCCCAAGAAAGCCTCTGGCCTCCTCCTCCTCCTCTCCTCCTCCTCCTCCTCCTCCTCCTCCTCCTCCTCCTCCTCCTCCTCCTCCCCCTCCCCCTCTGCTCCCCCTCCTCCTGCTCTTCTCTGCCTCCTTCTCCTCCTCTTGCTTCTCCTCCACATCCTTCTCCCCCCTCCTCCTCCCTCATCCAGCTCCCCCACCCTTCCTCCACCTCCCACTCATCGTCCTCCCCCTGCCCCCCCTCGTTTTCATCTTCGTCGTTCTCAGGGTCGGCGGCACTGGCCGTAAGGCCCACGCAATCCATCAGTTCAGTAATCCCCGCCCCCCCCGTCGCCAGGGAGACGCTCAAGGGCCAGATCGCTGCACTGAAGGATCTCAGGGTGCGCACCAAGCATCCGCCGACACCTTCGATCCGTGTCCCCAGGAAGTCCCGTCCCGACCGCTTCCCCGGGGGCAATTTCTCGTCCAGGGCTCCACGGGCCCCCGACATCGAGGAAAAACGCGTTGGTGAAGGAGCCGTGCCGCCAGAGGTCCGAGCCTGCCGCCGCCGTCGGTCGTCGGTGGGGGCGGCTCGCCGCCAGCGCGGTCGAGTTGACCGCTGCCGCGGACGCCGAGGTGACCGCTGCCGCGGACGCGTTCTGCGCTGGCGACTCGCCGGCGGCGGCCGCGGGGATCGCGGCGGCCTGCGTGCCCGCCGCCTCCGCGGGCGGCCGGTGCGCGCGCTGGTCTCGGCGGACCCCATCGCAACGACGAGGACGAGGCGGAGGAGGATGATGGGCAGGAGCGGGAGCGGGAGCGGGAGTAGGAGGAGCAGGGGGAGCAGGAAGATCAGGGAAGGGGAGGGGAGAAGAGGGGAGGGGAGGAGAAGTGGAGGGGAGGGGAGGGGAAAGGAGGACGATCAGGACCCAGGCCCCCTGGCGTCGTGAGCGCAGCGCAGCGCAGCGGAGCGGAGCGGAGCGGAGCGGAGGCCGCGGAGGCGTCCCCGGGAGGAGACGCGCCGTTGCAGGTCTGCGAGGGAGGGGGGGCCGCGGCCCCCGGGGCTCTGAACTGATCCGGGAGCTCACGTCCGTCGCGAGAAGAAGATGGCTCCGGGAGAGTGCTGGCCGCTGATGGGTTCCAGGGGTGGGGAGGCTCCAGGGGTGAGCCCCGAGGAGAGAAGGAGACTGCAGCAAGAGCGCCGGGCGAACCAGAAGCTGATGGTGCTGGACTGAGCGGCTGGCGGCGACCGCCCAGCGCCCCGCGCCGCGCCGCGCCCTCGGTTACAGCTTATCGCCATTTCGGGGATGAACAGAACCTCCTTTACCAAAGCGTGGTTTCGTGAAAACGACCTCGGGCCCAAACCTGGCGGGCGCAGGCCTGGAAAATGACGGCCGCGGAGCCCTCTCGAGAACCGAAGGCAGACAATTCACTGATCGACGTGTCAGGGTGGGGTCTCTGTCCATCCGCGATCATTGGGCCTCTGGACAGAAACTACGAGTCACAGACGGGGGGGAGGGGAAAGAGGGCACGTCAAGAGCAGGGGCAACAGGAGAGGCAAGCCCGCGCAGATCTGGGGGGCAGTAAGTCCAAACGCGTTCGCAAACATCCGATCCTGGGGCCGACTTTGAGCAAGGTTTGGCCAGGCGGGAGAGCTGCCAGTGTCTCAACTGGTCCTCTTCTGAACTTCGTCGTCGTCGCTCTGAAGGCTTCTACGGTCAGGTGAATACTGCTGATAGTGAATTTTCTGAGCGCACGTCAACATATCGGAAGCGCGTGCGCACGTGCACGCGCGCGCGCGCTCAGGATGGGGCTCGGGTTCGGTGTCAAGCTCGCGTTCGGGCTCGGGGTCGGGGTCGGGCTCGCGCCTGAGCTTGCGCACGCGCGCACGCGCGCACGCACGCGCGCATGAACGCGCGCGCGCACGAATGCGCGAACGCGCACGAACGCGCACACTTGCGCGCAGGCGCACGCTCACGCACGCGCGCATGCGCGCGCGCCCACGCGCACGCGGACTGGCCCCTTTTCAGAGCGAGGCGTGACCAATGCTACGTCACCCAACCCTGGGCCCCGTACCCCCCCCGAACTTATTCATCAGGGTAAGCCTTAAGTGGGGTGTGGTTCCAGCGCAACTTCTATTATGGAGACTGGCTCCAGCAGATTATGCCGTCAAGAAAAATTGGTTCCAGCACCCAATTTCACGAGGGACAATTGCTCCAACAGCCCGCGGGGCACGGGCTCCAGCGCACAGTTTTGACCAGGGACCGTCGCTTCAGGAGATCAGGCCATCAAGAAGGGTGGGCTCCCCCACACCATTTTTGCAGGGAGCTGTTGCTCCAGCAGCCCACGGCGTGGATTCCGGCACCCGATTCTGACCAAGGAAACACCGCCCCAGCACAGTGCGCCGACAAGACGGGCGGGCCGTCGTCTTAACAGGCCGCGAATGCGACTCGCGCCCGAGCCACGAACTCTCCTGCAGCCCGTCGGAAATCTCAACAGCAAACGATTCGCCTGCCTGTCTGCAGGGGGGCGCTTCTGGGGGCTCTCGTCACCGCGGCCGAGCGCAGCTCCTGGAACCCAGCCAGGGTGGGCCCCCGAGAGGGGCCGTGCGCGGAGATCTCGAGCGGGGCAGCGCCAGGAGCTGCGGCGGCGTGGGGTGGCCTCCGCGGGCGGCCGAGCGTGCGCGGCGGCGGCGGCGTCGCTCCAAGAGCCAAGCTCCTACCAGACCACCCCAGCCCAACCCGAAGACCCGAATCCCACCAGCCCTCTGGGCGCAGGTGGTCCAAGGAGAATCCTCGTCCCTCTTCCAACCCAGAAAAAAAACTCTTCCCCTACGGGGAGGGGTTTACCCCTCCCCTTACCCCTCCCCTGGACTTGTTTGGGGGGGTCCGCGAGGTGTCAGGGCGTCCAAGGCGGCCTCGGCGAGGAAGCCAAAATCACTGACTTTACTGAGGCGTTGGCCCCATGTTGGCCTCTGGTGGGGGGAGGGGGGGGAATTTTATCCCACCAGCCCTCTGGGCGCCAAAATCAATGGTTTTACTAGGGTTTTGGTCCCACGTTGGCCTCTTTGGGAGGGACGGAAAGTTCCCACCAGCCCTCTGGACGTCAAAGTCATGGGTTTTAACCAAGGTTTTGGCCCCAATTTGGCCTTTTTGGGAAGAGGGGGCTGAACGCTATACCATCGCCTCCTTTTGATCGATGGCCTTCAAGATGGCCCCAAGACGCCTTCCAGGGCTCCCGAGAGGGCCCCAAGAGAGCCCCAAGAGGGCCCCAAGAGGGCCACAAGACCCCTCAAAGACCCCCAAGAGAGCCCCAATACCCTCCCAATGGGCCCCGGGAGAGCTCCAAGAGGCGATTTTACGGCCCCTGGGAGGGGCCGAAATCGAGGACCCCCCATCTTTTGATCGATGCTCTCCCAGATGGCCCCAGCTGGCCTTCCAGGGCACCAGCCGCAGCACCAGCAGAGGCAGCAACAACATCAGCAGCACCTGCAGCAGCAGCAGCAGCAGCAGCAACAGCACCAGGGATCACACGAATTGGATCCCTCCACCTCCTCCTCCTCCTCCTCCTCCTCCTCCTCCTCCTCCTCCTCCTCCTCCTCCTCCTCCTCCTCCTCCTCTTCCTTCTCCTCTTACCCTCGCCCCACGCGGCCCCCAGGGATGACCCGAAGAGGCCTTCCAAGGCATCCCCCTTGCTCCCAGAGATCTCTCGGTTCATCCTGGTTGCTCGCTGTATTTCCACAGATGTGCCCCTTCGTCTCTTTTCCCGTCAGCTCTCGAAGGCAGGGCTTCTGAATGGGCCCGTGCGGATACTTTTTTTCGCTCGCGAGCGCAAGCGGGAGAGCCGCGCGCCGTCGCAAGTGCCAAGCAAGCCTACAGGCCGCGGCCGGGGACAGAAGCTGCGAGCAAGCAGCACGCTCAGAAGTCGAAGAAAGCGACGGGGAAGAAAGGCCAGGTCCACGTGCGGAAGGGGACCTCAGCAAACTCGTCCTCGGAAAACTTGCCCCAAGAACCTTCGCCTCGACGAATGTGCCCTCGCCAAACAAGTCAACGATCGGGGGCCGAACGCGACACACCGACGCCGTCGTCAGTACGAGCCTTGTGCATATACCACGTAAGCCAGCAGCACGAAAGAGGCACTGACTCCAAGCAATCAGCCGTCCACTCAGTCAACGCACCACGGAGCAACCGACGCGCGGGGCGACAGTGCTGGCCGAAGCAACGCCGTGCCGTCGGGAGCATCTTCCAAGGAGAGGTCCTTCTGGTTGCTGTCACTGAACCCGATGTCACAGGGGAACGCCGCGGGCCACATAGACAATGCGGACGCAGCAATCGGCCGCAGGAGCTAAGGCGACAAACCCACGCACCTCCTGCGGGGGGACACCCGCAGGACGATGGACGGGCCAGACAGCTCGGAATATTGGTCCATTTAATATCCTGGCACACTCGCCCCGAAGGGAGCGCTGAGGGCCAGGGCCGCACCGTGGGTGGGGTCGCAGCTGACAACCGCAGAAATGCTGGGTCAAGAGCGGGCCCGCGCGCCTCCTGCGGGGGGACAGCCGCAGGAGGACGATGGGGCAGTCGATCCAGGACGTTCATTGCCAGCTGGCCCCAGCCCCCCGGGGGGGCGCCGAGGCCACGGACGCAGCGCGGGTGGCGCTCGCAGCTAACAGCCGCTAGGATGGCGGGGGTACTTTTTGGTCAACAGGCTCGCGAAGCGCGTCGAAAGCCGCCCAAACACTAGTCGGGCCGCGACTAGGCAGCAGGAAGAAGAAAAAGACAAGCGGATAATGGGGATACTGTTTTGAATTTGGTCTGCGGGCTCGCGAAGCAAGTCGAAAGCAGCCCGAACACGAGCCGGGCCGCGACTAGGCAGCAAGAAACGAAAGGGGCAAGTGAAGCGAGCGCGCGGGCAGCCACTCAAAAGGAGGACCAGGAACAGCAACTCCCAACCTGGTGGCGTGGAAATCCCAGCGGCGACCCCCAAGTAGGCGCAGCCACAATGGCGCGGCGGCGAGACCATGAACACGCAGAGGTCGAGAACCCGGTGTGAGTCGGCATAATGCCTTACAAAAACGAGCAGGCCCGACAGGCACTCCAAGACGACATCCGTGCCGCAGGTGACACAACAGCACCGTGTCAGCGCCGGAATGAAGAGTGGGCAGCCTCGTCACAGACAGGACTGCAAACGGCAGGTCCTCTTGCATGTACACCCGGTGGCACAGGTCGAAAGCGAAGTCCCGTCCGGAAGGTGGCTTCACCGATCGGGCTGGCCGTCGGGTTGGTCGTCGGGCTGGCCGCGGGGCTGGCCGTGGGACTCGGCGTCAGGCAAGGCCTCATGTAGAGTGTTGGGTAGGGCGACGGACTGGTCGGGCTGGCCGTAGGGCTGGCCGCGGGGCTGGCCGTGGGGCTGGAGGTCAGGCTGGCCGTGAGAGTGGCCGTGACGCTGGTCGTGGGACTGGCCGTGGGACTGGCCGCGGGGCTGGCCGTCAGGCTGGCCGTGGGGCTGGCAGCCGGGCTGGCAGCCGGGCTGGCCGCAGGGCCGGCCGCGGGGCTGGCAGTCGGGCTGGCCGTGGGGGCGGTCGGCCGCGGGGCTGGCAGTCGGGCTGGCCGCAGGGCTGCGGGGCTGGCAGCCGGCCAGGCCGTGGGGCTGGCAGTCGGGCTGGCCGCGAGGCTGCTGGTCGCCAGGCTGGCCGTGAGGCTGGTCGCCAGGCTGGCTGCGGGGCTGGCCGTTAAGCGGGCCGTCGGACTGGCCGTGGGGCTGGCAGTCGGGCCGACCGTGGGCCTGGCAGTCGGGCTGGCCGTCGGGCCGGCCGAGGGGCTGGCAATCGGGCTGGCCGTGGGGCTGGCCGTGGGGCTGCCCGCGGGGCGGGCTGCCGGGCAGGCCAAAGAGCTGGCCGTCGGGCTGGCCGTCAGGCTGGCCGTGACGCAGGCTGGGCTGGCCATGGGACTGCCCGTAGGGCTGGCAGTCAGGCTGGCCGCTGGACTGCCCGTAGGGCAGGCAGTCGGGCTGGCCGTCGGGCAGGCCGTGGAGCTGGCCGTCGGGCCGGCTGTGGGGCTGGCAGTCGGGTTGGCCGTGGGGCTGGCCGTGGGGCTGGCCGCGGGGCTGGCCGTCGGGCTGGCCGCGGGGCTGGCCGTCGGGCTGGCCGTGGGGCTGGCCGGGCTGCCCGTAGGGCTGGGCGTGGAACTGGCAGTCGGGTCGGCCGCTGGGCTGGCCGTGGGGCTGGCAGCCGGGCTGGCAGCCGGGCTGGCCGTAGGGCTGGCCGCGGGGCTGGCAGTCGGGCTGGCCGTGGGGGCGGTCGGCCGCGGGGCTGGCAGTCGGGCTGGCCGCGAGGCTGGCTGTCGGGCTGGCCGTGGGGCTGGCCGGGCTGGCCGTGGGACTGGCCGCGGGGCCGGCAGTCGGGCTGCCCGTAGGGCGGGCCGTGGAGCTGGCAGTCGGGTCGCCCGCTGGGCTGGCCGTGGGGCTGGCCGTCGGGCTGGCCGCGGGGCTGGCCGTGGGGCCGGCCGTGGGGCTAGCAGTCGGGCTGGCCACGGGGCGGGCCAGCGGGCTGGCCGTCAGGCGGGCCGTAGGGCGGGCAGCTGGGCAGGCCGTGGAGCTGACCGTCAGGCTGGCTGCGGGGCCGGCAGCCGGGCAGGTCGTGGGGCTGGCAGTCGGGCTGGCCGCGGGGCTGGCCGTCGGGCTCGCCGAGGGGCGGGCCGTGGGGCAGGCCGCGCGCCGCCGCGGTGGCGCCCGCCATCGCGCCCTCCGCCGCAGCCGCCGCTGGCGAGGAGCCGGCAGCAGCAGCGGCCGCGGCAGCAGCGGCGGCGGCGGAGACGGCGGCCAACCCAGCCCCCCCCAGCCAAGGCCGGGGCCAGCGCCAGAGCAGCCGTGGCACCAGCAGCGGCGGCCGCCGCCGGCGGCCCACGCGAGGAGGCCGCGGCGGCGGCGGCCGCAGCGGCGAGCGCGGCGCACGCCGGCGCCGACGGCCCGGCGCCCGCGGGGGCCGTGCTGGGGCGGCCGCCAGCCGCCGCGGCAGCGCCAGCCGCCGCGGCGGGGGCAGCCAAAGCGGCGGCGGCAGCCGCCGCGGAGGGGGCAGCAGGAGCGGCCGCGGCCCGGCCACCACGCCGGCGCCGGAGGCCGAGCTGGCAGCCGCCGCGGCCGCGGCGTCGGCCGCCGCGCGAGCGGCCGCAGCAGCGCCAACGGCCGCGGCAGCGGCGCGGGCAGCGGCCGGCCCCAGGGCGGCCGCGCGGGCCACGGCGGCCGCAGCGCCAGGCGAGCAGCGGGCCGCGGCGGCGGCAGCCGCGTCAGAGGCGGCCGCGGCGGCAGTGGAGCTCACGGCGGGGCCGGCGCTCGCGGCCGCGGCGCCGGCGGCCGCGGCGGGCCAGCCAAGGGGCGGCGCCGGCGGCAAGCAAGGGGGCGGTGCCAGAGCGGCGCGGGCGGCGGCGGCGCGGCGCAGCCGTCGCCGCCGTGCAGAGGGCGGCTCCATCCGGCTGGCCCCAGAGGCAGCGGACCCAGGTCGCGCCGACCAACCTCGAGCCGACACTTGAGCCGGAGAGGGTACGGAAATGGTGGGATATTTTTTTGGTCAGCGGCCGCGGGCGAGCGCGCCGGCGGCGAGTCAGGTCAAAGCGGGCTACGCAGAGACTAATTAGGCAAAGGAAACGCGGGAAGAACAAACAGAGCAACGCGCGAGGCGACGGCTAAGCGCGGCCGAGGCCTCAGGTGGGTGGCTGCGGGGGCTGAGACACTGGTGGGGATACTTTTGATTCGCGGCCCGCAAGGAGAAGCCTGGTGGGGATACGCGAAGCGTGAAGAATATTTCGGTTTGGGGAGTCGGGTTCCATATGGAACATCGGAAAACAAAAACATGTGGATCCACACGTGCTTTGTCGATGCTCCCCGCGCCCCCCCCACCACCACTGGAAAAAGATGGCACATTGAGGCCTTCGGGTCAGGTTGGAGTGGTTTGGTGGGCAGCGAGTGGGCAGCGAGGCTTCGGAGCGCTCTCGGCGCTCTCGCGCGGCGGCGATCTGAGCATCGAGGCTTCGGAGCCCACGCTCGGCGCCCTCTCTCGGCTTCGGGGGGGGGAGCCTCCGGGCGGGGCCTCCCCGGCGGGACCTCCGATGGGGGGCCCCCCAGGGGTCCCCGCGGGGGAGCTGCCAGAGGGAGGGCAGAAGCCCGCTCACCGTCGTCCTCCAGATGTTGGAGGCCTGGAAATGGGCACCAACACCAAAGCAGAGGGTTGCCTCCATAGGGGGAAGATGATCCTAGATTTCGGTGTTGGTGGTAATATTTCGGTCACCCTGGAAGCCAAATATTACCACCATCACCGAGATCGGGATTTTCTTCCCTCGGTGGAGGCACACCGCCGATATTGGTGTTGGTGTCAACCTCTAGGCCTGATAATCCCAATCCACAAGAACCGTTCCACAAAAAAACAAAAAAAACGAGACCCCAGGGCGTCCATTGATTTCTGGCGTGGGAACGTCACGCTTTCCATAGCAGAACCATCGAAATCCAAGAAACCCATGGCACCCCGGAGGCAAGCGGGGTGTTTCTTGGCATGGGTATCCACTGTACTCATTGTCTGCGCGGGCTTGAAGACGGAAAGGGGCCGACAAAAAATGTTGGGAAAATTATTACTCCCCCGCGGCGGCCACTGCTGGAGTTCCCGTGGGCTCCGAAGAGTCCTGGGAATCCCTTTGGATTCTAAGATGTTAATCCCACACCTCACATGCTGCACCCCGTGTCCAAACTCGTCGTGGCCAGTGGCTGTCCGCACATGTTGCTTCACGCCACCCAGCCACAGAGTCTTGGGACGCCCTGTGCTGAGGGGGGGGGGGGGGGCACCACAGGGGGGGGGGCCGGCTCAGGGGGAAAACTGTGTTCGAATTCAATGAACTGGTTTCCGAAATCGAAAATCTCGCCTTTGAATCCAGAACTCTGGTTCGAAGTCCAGAAAAAAACGGCTTTCGAATTCCAAAACCACCCGGAACCGGCGGCACGTCATCGATATACGCCAAAAGGCAGGCCCCCGACAGCACAGCCGCACGCTCCAGTGGCGGGGTGGGCGCCACCGGGCCTCTCCTCGGCGACGAGGTGGGCGGCCGAGGGCCGATGCGCCGCCCCCTGAGAGCCGGTCCCCCCCTCTACCGACAGCACTTGGCGGCGCGCACGGGGAGACAGGGCTAAGGGGGGAAGGCTTCTCGTGAAGGGGCCCAAGGACACACCAATAGATACACACGAATAAAAAGCTTCCCCCCACACTTTCCCATGTGTTCTGGGTTGTTGTCTTCCCCCCCACGTCCCATATTTTTCCGTATTTGCTGGGG